TGGAAGAGGTGGGGAGGTGGAGGGAGGGTGTGGGGTGGAGGGTGAGGGGAGGTGGGAGGGAGAGGAGGGTGGGGAATGGAGGGTGGGGTGTGGAGGGTGGGGGGAGGGAGGGTGGGGGAGTGGAGGGTGGGGAATGGAGGGTGGTGAGAGGAGGGTGGAGGAGGGAGGGTGGGGAGGGAGGGTGGGGGGAGGAGGTGGGGGAAGAGGAGTGGGGAGTAGAAGGATGTGGAGATTAAGATGGGGAGTAAGTCATCTGCTTTGATATGTATGTTGTACTTGACTGTTTCAATTAGTGTATTTACAACAGAAACTCTCTCTCTCTCTCTCTCTCTCTCTCTCTCTGTTCTCTCTCTTCTCTGTATTCAATATTAAATTAACGTCATCTCAGTATAATATTGAACATTATCAAGCTCTGCCTCACAAAGTGGGGGGGTGTGGGGATGTGACTGGGGAAAGGAGGGCATGTGTGGGAGGTGTGGAGGGTGTGGGGTGGGGGGGAAGGCAAGAGGTGATGAATGGTGCCCTGCCTTTGTCTGTCGGCTTATGTAGCGATCTCCGTAATGTATGTGTGTCGGTACTCGAGACACAGCCTGACAGAGAGAGAGAGAGAGAGAGAGAGAGAGTCATGGTGGAGGCCAAGGGAGGAAGGTTGCCTTGACAACGAAGCGTCTCTGCCACACTACGCAATTTACTCACAGAAAGCAAGGAGGAAGGAAGGGAGGGAGGAGGGAGGTAGGTAGGGAGGAGGAGGGAGGAGGAGGAATGCACAAAGGGAGTGAATGAGATACCCATTCCCTTCCTCTCTCCATCGTTGGGGCGGGGGGGGGGGGTCCTAGAAAGAGGGTCGTACCAAGTTGTTATTAGAGATAAACACAATTATACGTTGATACATACACACACACACACACACACACAAACCTCAAAATGACCTAAATAACCTCGACTGACGTCTTTGTTGCTGACCCCTGCATAAAATGACCACCGGGTAATTACGGGGAGTCAGCTCGTTGTGCAGCATACCCCTCACAGTCAGCGCCTTGTCGGGGTCTTCTGCAGGATAGGAATGTGTGTGTGTGTGTGTGTGTGTGTGTGTGTGTGTGTGTGTGTATGTGTTGGGCGCCGCAACTCCTGACACAACCAGAGATTCAAGAGCAGCGACCTCCTCCCTCCCTCCTCATCCCCCCTCCCTCACCTCCCTCACCCTCCCCCTCACCTCCCCACTATTGTTATGTGTTGACCTGAGACGTAGCCATGACACACCACTGATGGATTGTTTTAACTTACACAAATACACCTGTTAGTTTACCTGTTAGTTCACCTGTTAGTTTACCTAATAGTTCACCTGTTAGTTTACCTGATAGTTACCTGATAGTGTAGCTACAAGGAGGGTTACGACCACAAACCACCACCACCACCATGACCACCACCACACCACCCACCTTGAGAGACCACCACACAACCACCCACTTGAGAGACCACCACACCACCACCCACTTGAGACACCACCACACCACCACCAACCACTAACCACCACCCACTTGAGAGACACCACACCACCACCCACTTGAGAGACCACCACACACCACCACCCACTTGAGACACCACCACACCACCACCAACCACTACCCACTTGAGACACCACCACACCACCACCCACTTGAGAGACCACCACACCACCACCAACCACTAACCACCACCCACTTGAGAGACCACCACACCACCACCACTTGAGACACCACCACACCACCACCAACCACCACCACCACCCACTTGAGAGCCACCACCACCACCACCCACTTGAGAGACCACCACACCACCACCAACCACCACCACCACCCACTTGAGAGACCACCACACCACCACCAACCACTAACCACCACCCACTTGAGAGACCACCACACCACCACCCACCGCCCACTTGAGAGACCCTATACACCCACTCACAACCCTAATCTATGCTCCACATAATCCATTACAGCATCAAATCTTGCGGCAAACTCCTTACCTCATCTGCATACGACCAGGATCAGCGGCCCTGTGATCTGGCCATCCCCAATCCCTCACATCCGCTCAAATCCCTTTACTCCTTGTTGTGGAACGCCCAAAGACGGACTCGACCAACAGAGGGCCTCGCAGTCTCAAAGGGTCGTATACGTTGAGTGTATTCTCCTAACTGGCTCACTTAAGCTCCAACACACAAGTGGATTCTCAGATGGTCGTAAGAGAGATAAATTCACCTCCCCTCCCTACCCCTCCCCCTTCCTACCCCTCCCCGTCTACCCCTCCCCCCTCCTACCCGTAAGCTGTAGAGATACGAGAATGAGAGAATGAGTCACCTTGGGCTATGTACAAGAGACATATGTGAGTTAGGTTAGGTTAGGTTTGGTTAGGTTAGGCCATAAAGGGAGAGATTTAAGGTGTGTCTCGTTAATTGGTAATCTGAGGGTTAGTTACTCATCTCCATATTTGTATACTGTGTGTGTGTGTGTGTGTGTGTGTGTGTGTGTGTGTGTGTGCGTGTGTGTGTGTGTGTGCGTGTGTGTGTGTGTGTGATGAAAATGTCACCAACTACCCTCTCCAACCCTCCATCACCACCACCAAAACACCCCCCACTCCCCACTACCACCATAACCCTAACCCCCACCACAACATTAACCCCCACCATAACATTAACCACCACCACCACAATACTTACCATCACCACCATAAACACACATTACTCAAGAGATATTTTCACATCTTGAACTTTCTTGAGACCAAAACCTCGCACTTATGCACCATTCGTAGGCGCGGAAAGTAGGGCGGAAAGTACCTTCTCTAGGCCGGCCAGTGACGCTGTTTTAGTGGCGTGCGGCTTTCACTGCAGACGTGGCACTGCGTATTGTTGCTAGAACTGATGGCACTGTTGTTAGTGATGTTGTTGGCACTGTTGTCAATATTTTAATGGGGACGTTGTCTTTCCTTTTGGCACCGTTGATCTTATTGTCACTGTTAACAATGTTGGCACTGCTGTTGTCTCTCTTGGAACAACTTTTTCTTTTCACACGCTGACACAATAATCACTTGTTGACAATATTTTCACCGCAAGCACTGCTGAAACTGGCATTAATTTCGTCGCTATTAATCTGCTATTGATGATGATACTGAAGCACAACTTTCACTGTCCCTTGTCACTGTTAAAACTCCTATTGATGTTAGAACTGATCACTGTTGGCACTGTTACCACTACCCTTGTCACTGTTAAAACTCCTATTGATGTTAGTACTGATCACTGTTGGCACTGTTACCACTACCCTTGTCACTGTTAAAACTCCTATTGTTGTTAGTACTGATCACTGTTGGCACTGTTACCACTACCCTTGTCACTGTTAAAGCTCCTCTGGTTGGCACTGGTGTTGGCACTCTCCTCACTCCGTTCCCTGGCCGTCTTCTCTACTCAGGAGAAAATCCTTCAAGCGCATTTCTCAAGACAGAGAAGCAACTCGGTAATCAAGGAAGAGTGTGTGTGTGTGTGTGTGTGTGTGTGTGTGTGTGTGTGTGTGTGTGTGTGTGTGTGTGTGTGCGTGTGTGTGTGTGTGTGTGTGTGCGTGTGTGTGTGTGTGTGTGTGTGTGTGTGTGTGTGTGTGTGTGTGTGTTAGTATCTGTTTTCTTGTTAGTTAGCAAGGACACACACACCCACACACACACACTAACAACACCTGACAACACCTGACAACAATATCTGCCTGTCCCTTTGATGGCTAGTTTATTTTTTCACTAGTACTCGAGGCCCCTGGAGTGCGAGGGAAGGGGTGAAGGGCGAGGTGATACTATATTGAGTTTTAGAGGCTGTCTATGTGAGGTCAGTAGACGATATCTCTCTCTCTCTCTCTCCCATGTATGTATGTATGTATGTATGTGTATGATGGTGTGTGTGTGTGTGTGTGTGTGTGTGTGTGTGTGTGTGTGTGTGTGTGTGTGTGTGTGTGTGTGTGTCCCCAGGGGTATAAACGTCACTGGATACAAGGCATTAAAGGAATCTGTTTCATGGTAGAGAGAAGAGTGAAGAAAACAAACAAACCCGAGAGGACTGCGGATGATACAGCAACTAGGGGAAGGGAAGGGAAGAGGGGAAGGGGAGGGGGAGGGGAGGGGAAGGGGGAGGAGGGAGATGGGGGTCCTTGTCGTTAAATATAATGTGAATATTTCCCCACATGGTACAAAAATACTACAGGAGAGATGTGGTTGGGTGGGGAGGGGAGAGGGGAGGGGGAGGGGAGAGGAGGAGAGGGAGGGGAGAATAGGGGATGTAGGGAGGGGAGAGGAGGGGGATGGTGAGGGGGAAAAGGGAGGGAGGGGAGGGGAGAGGGAGGGGGAGAAGAGGGGATGTAGAAGGAGGAGGGGTAGGGTCTATACGCTATAATATTGTCCTACAAATAAAGTTTTTTTCTAATTCCAATAACTATAAAAATATATACTGGTTTGTCTCTAGAAGCACACACACACACACACACACACACACACACACACACACACACACACACACACACACACAAACAACTGCCTTCACAGACTCTCGTGGACACCGTGCATTAATGTTCGTTATTACAAGACCAACATTGTCCTAACTCTGAGGTCTACCACAAGTAAGGACAATGTTGGTGTAAATTACAAACATTCACGGCATCCCGACCAAAATTTGTGAGGCAGCTGTACAGATAACAAACACTTACGATATGTTTAATGTGTTTTATTTTACTTATTACTACAAAGAAACAAAATTTTTCTAAGGTCTTCTATGTATTAATACTATATAATTAGATCAGCGGTCATTCTATAGGCTGTTATAACTATAGATACACAATGAAACTTTATAGGATAGGATAGGATAGGATAGGATAGGTTAGGATAGGTTAGGTTAGGATAGGATAGGTTAGGATAGGTTAGGTTAGGATAGGTTAGGATAGGATAGGTTAGGTAGTAAGAGAGCACTTCCCTACTAAGACACTTCATCTCCCCAGGAGGCCAGATCGAGCATGAACACCGTAGTGCTGACCAACGTCTCCCACGACACGGCTGGCAGGTACAAGTGTGAGGTGGTGGCCGACTTCACCTTCGAGAAGGACTTCCAACTGAAGGACATGGAGGTGGTTGGTGAGTAGAGGGGAGGGGAGGTGGGAGGAGGGAGGGGGGGAGGTGGGGAGGGGAGGTGGAAGAGGGAGGGAGGGAGGAAGGAGGGGAGGTGAGGGAGGGGAGGGGTGAAGGGAGGGAGAGAGGGAGGGGAGGAGGTGGGAGGGGAGGGGGAGGGGAGGAGGGGGAGGTGGGGAGGAGGGGGAGGAGGGGAGGGGAGGAGGGGAGGTGGAAGAGGGAGGAGGGAGGAAGGGAGGGGAGGTGGGGAGGGAGGGAGGGGTGAAGGGAGGAGAGAGGGGAGGGGAGGGAGGGAGGGAGGTAAGAGGGGAGGGAGGGGAGGAGAGGGAGGTGAGGAGGAGGGGTGAAGGGAGGGGAGAGAAGGAGGAGGGGAGGTGGGGGAGGGAGGAGGTGAAGGAGGAGGGGTGTGGAAGGGAGGGGAGGGGGGAAGGGAGGGGAGGGAGGTGAGAGGGAGGGGATGAAGGAGGAGGGGAGAGGGGAGGAGGGAGGGGAGGGTGAAGGAGGAGGCACAGAGGAAGTGAGAAAGAAAGAAAGAAAAGAAAGAAAGGAAGGGAAAGGGGAAACCTACCACATACACCTGATTCATTAACTACAACACCTGGCCTTACCTGTCTCAACCGAGTGTATCCTTAAGTAACTATATCTGTCTAGCGTCCTGGGAGCGTCGTCAAACCAATTATCAACTTATACATTTAATTATTATCAAAATTATCATCCGCGTTTGTTATCCCCCGCTAATTACCTGTTGTTAATTGGTGTCAGGTATCCAATTATATACAGGTGTGTGTGTGTATGTGTGTGAGAGAAAGAGAGAGAGAGAACTAAACAGATACTACTACTATTACTACTGCCACACACACACACACACACACACACACACACACACAATATAAGCCCACCGTCCCCTATAACCGACGGGGCATCACTGCAATACCAGCCCCAGAGTACATTTATAGCCGCTCTCACCGTCCCGTTTACGAGGGTAGCATTATACTGCGTTATATCCCGCTATACTCCGCCATGAAGTATACTACTAGGGTATAGGAGCGGTCATACACGCCATATGTGAGGGTGTGTGTGTGTGTGTGTGTGTGTGTGTGTGTGACAGACACAACAAAAGTAGAGAGAGAGAGAGAGAGAGAGAGAGAGAGAGAGAGAGAGAGAGAGAGAGAGAGAGAGCTACCATAAGCGTATCATTACAGGATTATAGAGGAGGCGGCGGTGGAGTCATTAGGTGAAACTGAAATACAGTAAGAGTAGAAAGAATCTGGGCTCAACCAGATCGCTTCACCTTTCCTATTGGTGTTTTATCTTTGTTCTGCTCCCTTGGGGTAAACGTTCGTCTGGCGTAGCATCCATAAGCGGATTACGGGAGAACGATTGCTTGTGTTGGCGCTGAATAATAGTATAAAATAATATCAGTGGAAACAACAATTTTGGCGATGGATCCGTTATCATGACCTGACCTAACCTAACTTAACCCAACCTAACCTAACCTAACTTAACCCAACCTAACTTAACCCAACCTAATCTAACTTAACCCAACCTGCAACTAACCCAACCTAACCTAACAACCCAACCTGACCTAACTTAACCCAACCTAACCTAACTTAACCCAACCTAACTAACCCAACCTACCTAACTTAACCCAACCTAACCTAACTTAACCCAACCTAATCTAACTTAACCCAACCTAATCTAACTTAACCTGACCTAATTTATATTCTCGTCAGACGTAATGTAACCTGGCATGACTTAACCTAACTTGATTGACCTAACCTAACCTTACCCCCCACTAACCTAACCTAACAACGAAAGTTCAACACAGGTCAGATCCGAAATTCTCAAAAACATTCAGACAAAATAAAATTCAAACAGAACAAAGAACAGCATTAGGCGGGGGGTAGAGGGTCTGACTACCAATTCGGACTCCATTTTGGTCACCCACTTGGCAGTTGAAACGAGGCAGTTTAGATGCGCTTTCCCACATCACCAGTTAGTTGTAAATATTTTTGACATAATATCCTTTGAGAATCCGTCTCTTTGCAGTATCTTGAGCCGGTGTAATGCATATTAATATCTATCATCAAGAAAAAAAATTTCAACGATCTTTTGACAAATCCATCTTGTGTATCGTAAGGTTAAGTGAGTATTATGAGCAGTGTATTACCATCATCAAGTCTTGTGCTGCACATATTAACTTAACGAGCCTTTGGGAATCACTATTTCCGGCGTAACTTAAATAACTCGTAACTTACAATCAATTATGGGACAAAAATTAACGTAGGAACCTTTATGAATCAATCTATTTGTGTTATATCGTAAATGAATGTGAGGCGCTAAGCTGCTGCCATCTAACCATCTCGTCCAGGTGTAAATAATCAACAAAAGACGCGTGACACAGCCTCAACCCAGACGCTGACTGTGCTTGAGGCTTAGAACTCACATAATACAACCACTCCTAGGCTCACTAATCGTTCACCATCCCTCTCTCTCTCACGTGTCGATCCAACATGTTAAGAGGGCGTTCTCCAGATATTCTCTTGAACGTTCTAAAAATGGCAGAGACTTTCAAGGGGATTGAGTGAAACGCGTTCTAAAAATAGTGAGACAGGATTGTAAAGCATCAGTTTGTGGAGGTTTATTTGGGTAGGTCTTCAGGTAGAGGAGGAGGAAGGAAGGTAAGAGGAGGAATTAATTCTTCATCTTTGGGGTTATTCTTATGCGAGTGGATAATGGTCGTTATATATGAAGGCTCTTGGTAGTTAACGAAACACAACACACACACACACACACACATCATAAATACATAAATCTTGATCTTTTCTTCTAATAAATGATAAGGATACATCCCCAAACATTATGTGTGTGTCTTGAGGTGAGAACCCTGAGGATACGCCTTTGTTTACCTTCACACAACACACTTCCTGTAGACCCCCACCTCACCCCCTCACTCCCTCTCACCCCCACCATGTTGTGTCTATCGGGTGACTTAGCGAAGGTAATAGATAGATGGTGGTTGAGGTGACGAAGACGAATAGATACTTGTAAACCCAACTACTTAGCTAACAGCAACCTAACCTTAACTGCAATCACTGCCCAGCCCATCTCACCAACCTACAACCTAACCTAACCTAACCTAACCTAACTGTATACAGCCTTTTAATAGGTGAGGTAAAGAGAATATTCGATATACGACTTAACAGGAAGGTCATAGGTCATCTGGTCCACCCAATCCTCTATTAGGTCTCGGTCATAACTTCTTAGTCTGGTCATTAGGATTGGGGGTCTGTTAGGATTGGGGTCTGTTAGGATGAGGGGCTGTTAGGATTGGGGGCTGTTAGGATGGGGCTGTTAGGATTGGGGTGTTAGGATTGGGGTCTGTTGGATTGGGGTCTGTTAGGATTGGGGTCTGTTGGATTGGGTCTGATGATTGGGGTCTGTTAGGATTGGGTCTGATAGGATTGGGGCTGTTGGATTGGGGTCTGTCTGATATGATTGGGGTCTATTAGGACTATCAAAACTATAGACCGTTAGAACTTGACCTCAAACCCAGGGGTCAGGTTAGGTTGGTCAGATTTAAGTCATGTCAGGTCAAATTAGGTCAGGTCAGGTCAGGTCACCACTACTAAAACATGTTAAAAATTATGAGTTTACGTCTCCCAATAAAGCTTTACATCCCTAATAGCACGACGAATAAAACTTGCTACCCCACACCCCACACCCACCCCCACCCCCACCGCCCACCCACCCCCACCCACCCAAAAAAACCACTCCCAAAACGTCAACAAAAAACAACAAGGGGAAACTTTACGACTCTCACAAAAAAAAAAAAAAAAATTGCTCCACCACGAAAAAAAAGGTTAATGTCTCCCAAAACAACAGAGAGAGATAGATATTGTGACATGCTCTGTGTGTGTCTGTGTGTGTGTGTGTGTATGTGTGTGTGTGTGTATGTGTGTGTGGGTCTAAACTTTCCATGGGAAGGGTTTTGCCGGATCTCTTCAGGTCAGTGAGCTTTTTGACTCGTCTTCATCCGGGACTGTCGACACAATTTAAGTTGTCTGGGAAACTTTTGTCTGGTGTCGTGTCTTATATTTCATTTTTTTCTCTCAGTCTCTCGCTCTCTCTCTCTCTCTCATTTATCCGGGTACACACACACACACACGGAAACACACATATCTCTCACGTACCAAGATTCTTCTTAATATCTTATCCACTTAACTTAAACGGAACTCATTTCATCAAACTTAGTCACACAAAACTTCTACAGTTTCACGGCTCATAAAACCGACTCATTTATATAATCCGTTCACTGTACCTTCCTTGCCTATAACAGTCAATCACGAGGTACGTCCATGAGGAACTGAGTGACAAGAGAGCGCGAGTTCCCTGAGTGACAAACGTGAAATTATGTCCGAGCTCCACGATAGAGAGTTAAGGGTAGTGCGGATATAGTATACTGCAATCAACCACATTTGCATTTCCTCGGCTCTACAGGAGAATCAATGACCTGACCTAACCTAAACTAACCTAACCTAAACAGAAGTTGTATATATATATAAAAATGTTTAGGTGAAGTGTGACCTTTGACCTCTCTAAAGCCATTAAAAGGACCAACACAAATGAACAACACAAGGGCGAACTGGTCATTTTAGAGAGAGGGAGAGAGAGCAACCAGTTAAAGTGTCATAGCAACCAGTTAAAGTGTTATAGCAACCAGTTAAAGTGTCATAGCAACCAGTTAAAGTGTCATAGCAACCAGTTAAAGTGTTATAGCAACCAGTTAAAGTGTTATAGCAACCAGTTAAAGTGTCACAGCAACCAGTTAAAGTGTCATAGCAACCAGTTAAGTGTCATAGCAACCAGTTAAGTGTCATAGCAACCAAAGTGTCATAGCAACCAGTTAAAGTGTCATAGCAACCAGTTAAAGTGTCATAGCAACCAGTTAAAGTGTCATAGCAACCAGTTAAAGTGTCATAGCAACCAGTTAAAGTGTTATAGCA